CGGGATCCTGCAAGTCCTCTCCAGGTGAGCAGGTGGCTCAGTGCTCCATGTGGCTGCCGTCTCCCCCGTGCTACTTCCTAAGCCAGCTTCAAGACTTGCAGCGTGAAGGTGGTTGGGCCCCAGGACGGTGGGGTGCGGGAGCGAGGGGCTGCAGCCTGGCAGCCCTCCCCACCGCGCCACCCGCCTGTCATGTCCTGCAGGTACAGCTGTGTGGGGTATGCGGCGAGCACTCTTGTTTTCAAGCACATGTGCGAGGCTTATGCACACTGGCCGGGGCCCCCACATTTCAAAGGCCTGATATCATTCCGACCTTGTTCTTTGACCACAGTGTAATTAAGTTAGGACTGCAGAAGTAAAAGATAACGGGGAGGGAGAGTGGGCGGGGGGGACGGCCAACATTTGGAACCATAAAAACTCTCTAATCAGTTCGGGTGGAGGCCAGAGAACAAATAAAAACAGGGTCCGCCTGCAAGTGCGGGCTGATGAGAACAATGACATCCCGCAATCTGTAGCCCAGCGGGCTGGGCGGTCCACTCTGCTCAGAGCTGTGCACCCAACGCAGGAAGTAAGGACCAAAAGGACATTACAAAAATTAAAAAAAAAATTTTTTTCCAGGACCAGTGCTGTGGCTCTGATCTTCTACCCTGTGGCACTAGCATCCCGTATGGGCACCATTTCACGTCCCGGCAGCCCCGCTTCCCATCCAGCTCCCTGCTTGTGGCTTGGGAAAGCAGTCGAGGACGGCCCAAAGCCTTGGGACCCTGCACCCGCGTGGGAGACCCGGAAGAGGCTCCTCATTTTGGATCAGCTCAGTTCCGGCTATTGTGACCACTTGGGGAGTGAACCGGTGGATGGAAGATCTTTCTCTATTTCTCTTTCTGCAAATCTGCCTTTCCAATACAAGTAAATAAATCTTAAAAATATTTATTTTCAAAGATGGATGGGGTGGGAGGACAACACAGTGCACATGGGTGTCGCCACTGGGAAGTTTCCCCCCTACAGACAGGTGTCCAGCTGAATAACAGCTTCCCTCACACATTCAGGCAGGGAGGGACCCAAGGCCACTGAGGCCGGTCTGCCCGGCCAGGTGTACTCAGCAGGTGTGAGGGGCAGGCACGGAAAGCCACAGGGACATACTGCCCCCATCCCACCCTCATCTTTTTCTCTTTTTTGAAGTTCCACAGGTATTGGTTTTGTTTTTAATTTGTTTCCATTTTTATCTACTTGAAAGGCAGAGATCTTCCATCTGCAAGGGCTCCCTCCTGCAAAAGCTCCAGACAGTCATGGCTGAGCCAGGCCTGAGAGAAGCCCAGGGTTCCCTCTGGTCTCCTGTGTAGGTGGCAGGAGACACCAGGAATGTGAATCTTCACTTGCTGCCTTGCAGGTACATAAGCAGGGAGCTGGAAACGGAAGCTTAGCCTAGGGGATGCAGGCAGAAGGCACCTTGCACCATAGGGCTTTCTTTCTTTCTTTTTCAGTTTTTTGGATATTGAAGATAACAGGTGAAAGATGCAGTTCCCTGGTCTAACAGATGAGAGTAAGGATGCTCGGATCCTCACCTACCAGGGACCTGAGGGACATAGCTACCTATCTTTTCAGTGTGGTGTTGACCCAACCGTCTGATGCCACGAGGCAGCGTTTGAGCTTCTGCCTGATCTGCCCAGCCTTGAGCCCCTGGTCCCTGCTGTGTGCGAGCACCAGCCTCCCCCCATTGTTGGTGCCTGGCAGAACCTGACTCTGGGTCTCCCATGCTCCTTGCCTGTATGTCCTCACATACCAGGCCCTGGACCTGCACTGGACCTGTCTCTCATTGCTAAGATGGGTGCACGCTGGGTAGGATTGGGGTGGCCACGGCCGTACAGTGTGTGTGGTAGGGGTGGAGGGGAGGGGCGCCTTTCCTGTCTATAGACCCCAGTTGGTGGCCACTCCCTTGGGCTTTGCTTCTTTATAGGAATTTGCTGACGGCATGACACTTCCCAGAGAAAAGAGAGCTGCACTGAGCAGGCATCCTGCCCTGTCCTGCCTTGCCCTGCCCTGAAGTGGACACTCAGAGCCCTGACTGAGCCGGGCTCCCCACTTCCCCCTCAGCCATTGCAGCAAACAGGTGATAACACTGAGGTTGAGACAGCTAGGCAGCTGCTGGCCTGCCTGCCATGTTGGGGTACCCAGGTTCAATCCCTGGCTCTAGCTCCCAACTCCGGTTTCCTGCTTTTGCAGACCCCAGGAGGTAGCAGGCCAAGGCTCAAGTAACTGGTCATAGCCTCCCCCATGGGAGACCTACCTGGATTGAGTTCTTGCTTCCAGCCCCAGCCCTGGCCCTGGCCCACCCCAGGACCTGGTTCCTGCATGCACTTGGGGATTGACCACACAAACAGGAGCTATCTGCCTCATATGAACAAATGAATGAAAGAGTGGCTAAGCAATGGCCAAAGAGAAGTCCCTGGCAGCGCCAGTGAGTGGGCGGGCAGCAACCAGTACTGTGGAGCAGATGGGCCCGCAGCCCAGGATGCTGGCCCAGCCACAGCAGGGAGAATCGCGGCTGCTCTGATCCTGGCCCCGGCCGACTGGGGTGCGGGAGCCTCATTATTCCTTAAAGACCTAAAAATACCCCTGGTTGTAAATCAGTCCTGCTTCAAGGCTGTGGCTCCTGCGCCACGTGTGGGAGAAAGGCGCAGGCCTGCGCGCCACCTGGGCCTGAAGGCACTCGAGGCCAAGCGAGCCATCTCGGAGCTGAGGGGCCGACGAGTATGCTGGGTATGCGGCTGGGGCTCTCCAGGTGCCCCCGTGGCTCCACCTCCAGGTAGTGTCCAGGCCTAGGGGCAGCCTCTTGTCCCTGCCGCAGGCCTGGCCGGGCCAGGACCCTCTGGGAAGCTCTCTGGCCATCAATGACTCGCTCAGCTATGACCTCAGGTGCCAGGAATGCGCAGCGTTGCCGCCATCTGGTTCCGATTACCCACGCTCCACGGCGGGAACCCCATCCGCAGCTCAGCTCCCAGGGTCCGCGGGGGTTGGGGGAGACTGATTTGGACTCATTAGAGGCTGCCAGTGGGAAGATCCAAGGCCCATCCTGGCCCACACGTGGCTCTCGTGGGGGACACGGGGTGGGACGAGTGGGGGCACCCAAGGGAGCCTCACCTGCCACAGGTGAAAGCGACAGGCCCAGGTGGGTTTGTTCTTAGCAAAGACCGTGGCTGGAATCTCAGGGCCCCATGTGCACCCCTGGCGGGACCCCTCCCTCACCATTCCTGCCCCGCCCACCCCTCTAACTTTCCAATTCATTAATTCCTGGTCTCCCTTCTGCTTTAACTTTTCGATTCATTAGTTGGGTAGAAGTTCGTCTCTGGACAGGAACAGTGCCCATAAATTTAAGTCTTTAAGTTCCAGCAGCTGTTTCCCAAACACACCAGGAGAGACAGGGCAGTTCTAGGCCAAGGCCCCTCTTGGGGTCCTGGGTGGGTGGGTGGGTGGGTGGGGTGGAGCTGCAGCTCCAGGAGGGCCTTGAAGGAGGCTGCCTCAGTCTCCTGCCCTTGCCTATGTGAAAGCCCCTGTGGGACCAATCTGGGGCCTGGAGGAGCAGGACAGAGGGGTGTGAGGGAGGCCCTGTCCCATGCTCAGCTGGCTGGGACAGGGACTGCGAAGCTCTGTACGTGAGTCGGCCTCCAGCTCCTGAGATTTCCGCAGCCTCGTGCCCTCCGGCCCTCATAGCAGGGGCTCCCCGGCTGATGGAAGGAGAGACTGCAGGCTCCAAGGTGCAGCCGCTGTGTGCCCTGCACAGGCTGGCCACCAGGGGATGGACAGGACCGGCTGCTGAAAGTGACAGGTGCCTGTCTCAGGGGTGGGCAAGGTGCTGCCCTCCCCCCTCTGGGCCCAATCCCTGCCCCCTCAAGCCACTGCTCAGACACCAGCTGGCAGGAAGCAAGCACAGCCTCTCCTGTGCCTAACTCCAAGGGCCTCAGCATCTTCCTCATCCTCATGCTATGTGACCTTGGGAAGTCCTTTGGTCATACCCCAGCCATGAGAATGCCCACAAGGCACTGAGGTCCACTAGCTAGCATCCTTGACCCATTTTCACCCAGGGCCTATCCATCCCCCATGCCGCTCACCACATCCCCATTCCCAGATGGACCTGATGGCTGGAGGTGAGCCAGGCAGCATCTCCGCCTGAGAAAGGGGCTGGGGTGCTCTCTGCATTTTCGACTCCCTGAGCCCACACAGGCAGCATGGCCAAGGCCACTCTTTGGTGTGTTCCAGGATAGGGATCTCTGGGAGGCCGCAGCAGGGCTGGCACTCCCAAGACACATAACCCCGCCCCTACCCAAGTCTCTCCCCCGCCCAACACACCTGGGGGTACACCTGTTTTCACTCACCAGCATGCTCAAGTTGCCTGAGGCTCATGGGGGTCTTCGCCCGTCCCCAGCATCCACTACTCTGGGGGCCAAGAGGCCAAGATGCCCCAGCACCTCAGGCCCTGTGGCCTGCGCCACCTCCTGCTTGGCATGCAACTGGGCCACCCCTGTGTCCTGGGCAGCCAAGGCCATGCACTGGTATCGCTGAGGAGCCCAGGCTGGTCAGCAGAGTCCAGAGGCATCATGGGAAAGGCCTCCAGCAACTCCCTCAGGGCAGCCTGCAGACCACCACGCCGGTTCCGTGGAGTTTCCCACATTGTGGTGTTTTTTTTTTTTTTTTTGTTCTTGATTAATCAGTTCCTTACTGACCAAATTCCTCTGAGCTTCCCAGAGAAGGCCCTGAGCCTTCCTGGACGCTACGTGCCTTTCTCTAGATGGACAAGACGTGACTGCTGCTAACCCGAGTCTGCCAGAAACCCGAACCATCTGAGCAAGGGGGCTCCGGGTGCCCAAGCCCCTTCCTCCAACCCGCCTGCGTGTGATGGATGAGCCGGGGCTGGGCGACGGCTCCTTTTCATGCCTAAATATTGTTTCAGCCTATCAGACTGTTAGTGCAGGACACGATGGATGGGGCCGGGGCCCCTGCGCACTGACCTGCAGGGCCCGCCGCCCGTCCAGGCTCCAGACAGCCAGCGCTTTGCCCGCCGAGCCTGAGACGCCCCTGGTCCTCTGGGGGTCGAAGTCAAGGCCCATGACGGGCTCCTCATGGCAGGCGATGCGGCTATAGGCCTTCCGCTCCGACACGTCCCACAGGGCCACCGATCCGTCCTCGTAGCCAGCCAGGAGGAGGGGGCGGGTGCCGGAGTCAGCCTGTGGTGAGGGGGGCGTCAGGAGCTTTGTAGTCAGTCCCAAGTACCACCCCCTCCCCTGCCCCGCTGTCCTGGGCAGCCACCACAGCCAGAGGCTCTGCACCCTGCTCATCCCATCAGCCCAGGTGTCCCAGGGCTGAGCTCTGGGCCCTGCCCAACCATACAGCCCCACCCATGGGACCTGGTTGTGCCCACTGCCCCCCTCCAGATCCCTCCTGCTGCCCCGTGCCTGCTTCTCTCAAGGTCTGGGATGTGTCCTCCTGTGGGTTCTCTCCCCTGGCCTGCGGGGTGGGGTCACCTGTCCAGAGCCGCCAGCCAGGGGCATGGTAAGCTACCGCCGTGACAAATGAACTTTCTGGGTCTTGTCAGCTTGGCTGCTCAGAAGGCCCCCCCACCCCTCTGCCCCAACCCCCACCCCTCTGCCCCAACCCCCACCCCTTGGGCAGCCCGACGTGAGTCGCTCTCCAGGGCCATAGTGTGGTGATAAATGAGGGCCGGGGTCAGAGGGCTCGGCGGTCCAAGCAGACGCCTCGTTTATTTAGCCTCTGAAACAACCCCAGGAGAAGAGGGCGGTGGGACCCCTGCACCACCCCCCAGGGAGCAGCCCTGGTCCCAGGACCTGATGGGCCGAGAGCAGCCTTGAGTGGACGGGAAGGGGACCAGGGAGTGGACAGCAAGTCCGCAGGGCTGTCTGCAGGTCAGAGGGGGAGACTGAGGCCAGGGAGGGGGAGGGGCGAGGACAGGCTGGATATAGTCGCACAGGTCTGTCAAGGCCAGAGTTGGCCGAGCCTGCCCATGCCTACCTCCTGGTCTCAGCTGACAGTGGCTCTGGCCAGTCTCACAGGGAAGCCTGTGTGTGGCTTCTAAGCCTGATGCTTGGAGAACCAGTTGCAGTACTGCCAAGAGGGGCCAAGTAGGAGGTGGCCTGGCCTGGAGGGTCTCCCCTGGCCACCTCACCGCCTTCTGTGCTCTGGGTCCCTGGGCCTCCTTAGGGATAACACTGCCAGCTGGTGTCTTGGCTTGGGGGGCAGAGTATGGGAGAGGGGCTTTGGTGGCTGCACCCTTGTAGGCCTCCTGACATCTGCAGTGTGCAGGACCGGAAGTGGCCCCTCTGGTCTTCTCCAGGTCTTCCCCCAGCCCCTGCGGAGACCTGGAGACAAGGACTGACTCTGTGTCCGCTGGCTCTCACTTGCAGCCTAGAGGGACGGACTACAGAGGGAGCAGATGTGGCCTGCGGCAGGGTCTTTGCCACCTCAGGGGTCCCGAAGCTCCTGGCTGGGGAGGTGGGGAGGTGGGCATTGCCTCAGCCTGGCTGCCTCATATCGTGAAGCAGGCGGACGAACAGGCTGCAGGGCCGCCCATGTCATGCTGAGCTGGGCCATAACACTGATGAACAGAGCGCCGTCTGCCCTCCTGTCAGCTGCATTAATTACCCCGACAAGTTTGTACATTCCTTCCTACACCATTTTTTTCCTGCTGGAATTTTTTTACAGGATTGTGCAACACTGCATTTCCCGGGGGTGGGAGGTGGATAGGAGCCAGTGGGTGCAGCCAGGGGTGTCCCTGTGGCTCCAGCACCCTCAGGTGCTGCAGAGCCAACACCCTAGGCCTGGACACACACCTGCTGGCCCAGGAGCCCCACCTCCCCAGCCACCCCCACCCCGCCCGGGGCACCCTGTCCTGCCTCGATTACTGCAGATCCTGAGTCCAACATGAACTTCCGTAGTCACAAGGCTGCAGGGGGAGGCTGGGTGCCAGGCAGAGCTTCTGTCTGCAGACAGCAGTGCCTGGGGCTGGCATTGGGCGGGGGGAAGAGAGGAACACAGCAAGCGGAGGTGGATCCCATTATGCACGCACGCAGGCACCCCCAAGCCACAAGCCTGCAGCCCGACTCTCTAGCCAGAGTTCAAAGGGCACTGAGGCAGAAGCTGCCTCCCATCCCTGCCCTGCAACCCAGCACAGGGTGCATTTTGGAGCTGAATGGGACAAGGGAGACTCCCAGGGAACAGCAGACACCCCGAGCCAGGTGTCTGCTTAGGACTTGAGGTTCCTGGGACCTCTGATCTAGCTCCTGAGACACGACCCTACAAAAAAGGCAGAGGTACCCTGGAGCCAGTGTTGACCTTGTACGTGAGGGAGAGCTGGCCATGCTGTCCGCTTTACAACCCCCACCCTGGCCACTGAGGCCCTTGACCCAGGAAGAACAGTCTATCTAGAAAGATGGAAAGGGCTGTGGCTCAGGAATTCTGGGCATGACCATGGGGGAACTCCACGTCCACCTCTGTAAGAGGGGAGGGAGGAAGGCACTGTGGCTGAGTCGGCGTCTTTCTGTCACCCTGGTGAGGAGCTGTAGCCAAGGCCTGGTCCCCTCCCCTCCCAAGAGTGCCTAGGCTAATGGACCCCACTGTCCCCTCCTCACTCATGGGCAGGTCTGAGCCTGCTGGGGGTTCCACGGAGGGAGGACATATGATTTACAGGAGCTGCCGGGGGTTGGGGGTGCAGCAGGGGCTGTGGTGTGCACATGTTCTCTGAAGGGGTCTGGGGATAAATCAGGCCCTGCGTGGGGCATGACTCAGTGGTAGGCGTGGCCATGGGGTGGGGCTGGCGCACGCTCACCTTACCTGCCACAGCCCCAGGCACATGGGCATGCCTGGCTTGGCACCCGCCTCCGGCTTCAGGGTACACACCGACGTCTTGGATGGCATCTCCAGAATCTGGACCTGACGGTGAGAAACAGGCTGGTTTGGGCCAGCGCCAGGGCCGCTTCGTGCTACACAAACACGAGACTGGGGAGGCGGCGAGCCAGGGCCACTGCTGTGCCTGAGTTTCTGTCTGCTCCTGCTCACCGCCCGCGGGAAGCTGGAGTCCCCCCCATGAGGATGTGTGGAACGCCTGTACATGGCACCAGTGCTCATACAGATCCTGGGTGCCCAGGCCCTGGGGGCCTGTCTTGTGGGCCACTGTCCACCTCCCTGTCCTGTGCAGGTTTTACCTGGCATTAGGGGGTGCCAGGGACTGGCCTAGGAAGTGAGCGTGAGTGGGGTCCCTGGCTGATTTTCCCCGGCCCATCTACTGCTTCTGCCAGGGCTCAGAGTCCTGGGGGACCTCCGTGGACCTCAACTGTCCTAGGTGACTCCTGTCCACTGATGTCAGCCCCAGCTTGTACCAGTTCATACTCAAGAAACCTGGGAAGCAGGCAGGTAAGGGTTATTGCACGGTCATGCTGGGAGACAGCGCCCAAGGGACCCGGGCAGCTGAAAGCAGCCCTGCTCAGCAGTCCACAACAGGCGTGGCCTGGGGCTGGGCAGCTGGGACCACACCTGCTGCCCTCAGCCACGGATCCAGCCACAGCCAGGCCAGGTGATTTCACTCAGGGGAGGTGTTTCCGTCCTCTCAGATCCTAGCTGTCAGACCCGGATGCAGAAGGGGCATCCTGTATACACAGAAGCATGTGTACACATGAACATATATGCACACAGAAATGGGCACACGTGTGGGTGTGCAGGCATGTGAATATGTACACAGCTCCCTGCCTTTCAGCCCCAGTGACAAGGGGCCTCGGGTGAGCCTGACAGCCTGACAGAAGACACTGAAGAGGAACACATGTGGCCATGCGATGAAGGAAACAGAATACGGGAGGGAGAAGCTGAGGCAGATGTGAAAGGAGAGGCTGCTGGGAAGGGAGGCCCCCCTGAGGTGAGGAGGGCTGCACTGGCCAGAGGTGGGGCATGCAGGCAGAAGGCATGCAGGGTGAGGCAGAGGTAGTCCTGGGAGCCTCAGGCTCCTTTGGGAAAATCGCCCAAGGAGAAGCTCCTGCTAAGGGAGAGCTAGGGAAACCCAGTGCAACAGCCCCAGGTCTGGCCCAGAGGATCAGACAGAGGTGCAGCTGGGGCTCTGAGCTCTTCTCTGCTGTTGTCATGACGGGCTGCTTAGGGGACGTGTCCCTGGAGAAGTAGCCACAACCACGGGGAGAAGGGCAGGTCTATGGGAGAGGTCAGCAGGCCCACCATGTGTCCCAGACCCGAGAGGTCAGCAGGTGGCTGGACGGAGGCACTGGGAAGCCTGGGGCGCATGCTCTGCAGGAGCTGGTCAGAGGGTGCACTGTGTGTCAGGGTGGCACTGATGCCCTGCACCAGAAGTGGGAGCATGGATGACTGCTGCATCCTGCAGGCAGGAGAGCAGGGAGCCTTGGTGGGTAAGAGTCGTGGCAGGGACCTTCTACCTGGCACCCCAGGTACACTCCTGCTTCACAGGGTTTGGAGGGGCTGGGCCCTGGGCACTGTCTGGGCATGGATGGAAAGGCTTTTCCAGGGCCCGGTCCAGGCAGATTCTGGGTGGGAACATGGAAGACAGCCTCTTTTTCCGGATGTCAAGGTTGCCTCACACTGGCTGCTCCTGGAAAATATGCAGCAGGAGCCAGGAGGCTGGTTACAAACAGCCTCTGGCATGGGGGCAGTGGCTGACCATGTGCCGGCCCATGGCTGCTACCCACAGGAGCACACAGAGGGGAGGGCGGCTGCCAGTGTGGGCCCTCAGGGTTGGGGGGGCGGACAGCATCTCGGGAGGAGCTGGCACAGTTGGCTGCCGCCATCCAAAAGAGAGCACACCCCTTTCTCACATTAATAAAAGTCTTAGCAGGTTTTTGGCAGCCCAGCAACAGAAGTGTGTGTAGCTCCTAATTGGCGATTTAAACGCAATCACGAGCAAATAAATGCCTGTACCCGTCTCATTATTTATGAATCTGCTCGAAGCCACGACGACTCCTCCTGGCCATGGGCCAAGCTGGGGGCCGTGTGCAGGGCCCTGGGCTGCCGGCCCTGGTGGAGCCACCCTGCCTGAGCTGAGCTGAGCTACCAAGGCTGGGGGGTTGGGGGCCCTCCCCCTCCTCCACTCAGGTACCCCGCCCCCTTCTCCTACATAAGTTCCGGGCGGGGTGGGGGCGGGGGCCAGTGTTAGGGAGATGCAGGAACACTGCAGTGCAGCCTGGCCTGCCCCTCGGCACCTCGGGTGGCTCTGACCCGAGCACCACCTGCTGCTGGTCTCCCTGCTCTGGTGTGGCCCTGTCCACCTCCCCAGGAGACTGTGGGGCCACCCTCACCTCCTACATCCCACCAGGGCTTGGGTCCCTCGCCCCCTCCACCTCCTGCAGCCACCAACTGTTCCTCCTGCTCCAGTCCCCACTGACCTGGTGGCCGTGACCTTGACATTTGGTCATTGCGAGAGCTGTCTTGAACATGGGCAGAGGCTGGCCAGTTCTCCCCGAGCCTCTTAATGATTCTTACCACCATCCTGGGTGTGTGTACATATATGTGCTCCCCAGGGCCCCTCACAAGTGACCTGCCAGGCCCACCCAGCTGTGAGGACACTGGAGCTGCAGTCAGGTGACAGATCCCAGACTTGACCTCACTGCTCCACAGGGGATTCTGTGGTGGGCAGTGTCCCCGCTACCTCCACCTCCCCACACTGGGAGTGGGTGGAGGAGCAAGGGAGCCCCTGGAGCAGGTTGGTTCTCACCTCGTCACTGCCCTTCCCTGGCATGGCGAGCATCCAGCGCGGCTTCTGAGCCTCAGCCAGGACGGAGCTCCGGCAGAAGCCCACATTCTCCAAGGGCACAGAGTCCACGATGGCGTTCCTACCCTCCTCCAGGTCCCACAGGCACAGGCGCAGGTCCCGGCCCTGGCTGACAAAGCAAGAGGGGGATGTGGGGCTCCCATGAGGGTGCTGGGAACCCTGCCTAACAGGCAGTGGGGCCTGTTGCCCTTATTCCTCACCCCCTCCCCAAAGCTGAGAGATGGCAAGGACCACAGTTCCAGCAACTGGGCCAATCAGGAGCCTGGGCTGAGGAAGGGCTTCTCCACCTTGAGTTGGCACCTAGGGCGCCCAAAAGCGGGACATGCGTGCAGCAGACCGTGGAGTACGCGCTCCGTGGCATGCACGCTCCATGGCACATGCACTCCCTGCCCTCTGTTCCAGGACCCAGCGGTTCCTCCCTGCCTCGGGGGGTGACTTCCAAAGTCTACATGTACAGCAGCTCCATTTGAAGCAGCCCAAACTGGAAATAGCTGACAGAGTCCCATGAGCACTATGGTGCAGACCTGGGCGTGGCCACTTCCCCCAGGATGCCTTCTTGTTCTTCCAGGGCAGGGAGCCAATCAGAAGCCTTCGGGGTACTGGCTCCCCCCACCATGTACCGACAGACCCTGCAGGCGTAAGCACTACCACCCCTGGAGCTCCACTGTCTGTCTTCTTAGCCCACCTTCCCTCCCAGCTTCATGCCTGGACACCAGTGTGGCTGACCCTGGATGGAGACAAAGCCCACATCAGAATCGCTTGTGCACGCTCCTGAGAGGCAGGGCCAGATCCCCACAACCTCACGCATGGTCACCTCCACAAGACACAGAAGCATGGCCAAGAAAGGGAATTCACCAACACGGCCAGGCCAATCTGACTCTACAAGAATAAGTGATTTGGTCCTTTTAAAAAAAAAAAAAGATTTATTTAACTTGAAAAGCAGATTTACAGAGAGAAAGAAAAATGGAGAGAGAGTTCTTTCATTCACTGGTTTGTGCCCTAAATAGCAGCAACAGCCAGAGCTGAGCTGATCTGAAGCCAGAAGCTTCTTCCAGGTCCCCCTCATGGGTACAGGGTCCCAAGGACTTGGGCCATCCTCTGCTGCTTCCCCAGGCTATAAACAGGGAGTTGGATGGGAATAGGAACAGCTGGGACTTGAACTGGTGTCCATATGGGATGCTGACACCACAGGCAGAGGATTAGCCTGATATGCAACTGCACCACCCCCTACCTCAGTTCATCTTAAGACATCATTAAAGAGTGAAAAACATGAGCCATTGTATAGGAGAGACAAAGCTGTGATGAACAGTATATACCATATCCAGAATATAAGACTCCTCGACCAGCCACAACGTGCAATGCAGTCATCCCATATGGGTACGGGTTTGAGTCCCAGTTGCTCCACTTTTGATCAGGCTCCCTGCTAGTATATCTTGGAAATGCAGAGGAAGGTGGCTCAAGGGCTTGGGACCGTGCACCCATGTGGGAGACACAGAAGAAGCTCCTGGCTTTAGCCTGTCCCAGCATTGCCACTGCAGCCATATGGGGAGTAAACCAGATGGAAGATCTTTCTCACTCTATAACTCTGTCTTTCAAACAAATAAACTAAATCCCAGGCCTCAGCTCAATGGCTCAGTGATTAATCCTCTGCCTGCAAGTTCTGGCATCTACAAGTGTGCAGGTTCATGTCCAAGCTGTTCCACTTCCTGCCCAGCTCTCTGCTTGTGGCCTGGGAAAGTAGTAGTAGATGGCCCAAAGCCTTAGGACCTGGGCCCAGGGCAGTAGCTTAGTGGTTAACATCCTCAGCTTGCATGCACAGGGATCCCATATGGATGCTGGTTCAAGTCCTGACTGTTCCACTTCCCTTTCTGCTCCCTGCTTGTGACCTGGGAAAGCAGTCAAGGATGGTCCAAAGCCTTGGGACCCTGCACCTGTGTGGGAGACCCAGAAGCTCCTGGCTTCAGATCTGCTCAGCTGATGCAAGCCATTTTGGGAGTGAACCAGAAGATGGAAGATCTTTCTCTCTGTCTCTCCTTCCTTCTTTAAATATGACTTTCTAATAAAAATAAATGGATCCTGCACCCATACAGGAGACCCAGAAGAAGCTCTAGGCTCCTGGCTTTGGATCAGCTCAGCTTCCCACATTGTAGCCATTTAGGGAGTGAATCAGTTGAGGGAAGACCTTTCTCTCTGTCCTCTCTGTAAATCTGCTCTGCCTTTCCAATAATAAATAAATCTTTAAAATACAAAACAAATAAATAAATCTTAAAAAACAAAAAAGAGAGTCCGGTGCCACGGCCTAGCAGCTAAAGTCCTCACCTTGAACCCACCAGGATCTCATATGGATGCCAGTTCTAATCCTGGCAGCCCCGTTTTCCATCCAGCTCCCTGCTTGTGACCTGGGAAAGCAGCCGAAGACAGCACAAAGCTTTGGGACCCTGCACCCAAGTGGGAGACCCAGAAGAGCTCCTGGATCCTGGCTTCGGATCGGCACAATACCAGCTGTTGCGGTCACTTGGGGAGTGAATCATCAGAAGGAAGATATTTCTCTCTGTCTCTCCTCCTCTTTGTATATCTGACTTTGCAATAAGAATAAATAAAAAGAAAGGAGAAAAGAAGAAGAAATAAGAAAGACTCGTATGCACCACTAAGTAAAGGGCCACCAATCCCAGAGAGAAGTCAATGAGAGGCGAAGAAGCGTCCAAGAGAGATTTAATGCCAGTGGCTGACAACGCCCCAAGGGGGCTCTAGACAGGGCTGAGCACGCAAGGCCCAAGCTGCAGGTGAGTGGAGGCAGACACCCAGGCAAGAAGCAGGTAGAGACACAGAGTAACACACACACAAGGCAAAGAGCAACAGAACCCAGTGCAGCCCCACACGTGGCCTCATGGGAAAGCAGAGTCGAGGAGCTGGGGGGGTGGGGGGCAGGGAAACTAAGGGACAAATGGTCAGGACTAGTCCAAGGAGTGAAGCGGCTGCCTCTGGGGCTGCTGGAGGGGTGGGAGGCTGGGGGTAGCCTACCTATGGGGAGGGCGTACTGCAGGCATTGGGCAAGGGAGTGTCAGGAGGTCCCCGGGGTGGACGTACACTCTGCTAATACAACAGCCCGCAGCCTGCAGCCCACAGCCTGCACCTCTTGGCTAAGTGTGCTCCACTTTACAGGCAAAAAAAAAAAAAAAAGTTAAAGCAAGGCCCTGCCAAGGTGGCTGCTGCAGGCACAGGTGCAGTGGAGCTAGGGTGTGACATGAAAGGGAGGCCGTTCTTCAGGGGCCACTCGAGCAGCGGAGGTGGGGTGAGGAGCTCAGCTTTGCAAACACAGCTGAGCGCAGGCCAGGCAAAGCCGTCTGCACTGGCCACAGTCTCTAGTGCACCGCAAACGCACCTGGGCATTCCACACCTTCCTCCTGCCCACTGCGCTGCTGACCCGCAGCCACCCTGCCTGCAGACAGCAGCCATGGTTCCTGCACAGCCCAACATCACTGGGGTAGTTAGGCCCTAGAGGAGCAGGGTCCACCTCCCCTGGGGCATGTGGCTCTGCGCAGCATTTGCAAATGAGCAGGACCAAGACCTTCTGTATGGAGGGGGAGGGACCTGGGACAAGGCTAGGAGGACCCAGGGCCTGGGTCCCTGTCCTCAGACAACACTGGAACCTTGTTACCTGTTAGCTATCTTCTGGATGGTGGGGGACCATGTGAGTCTGGCACAGAAGTGTTTTGTTGATGGGTGTGTGTATGTGGAGGGTGTCCGACTCCTCTTGTCCACAAGGCACTGGGTGCAGAGTGGAAGAGGCTTACCCTCCCAGAGCTGAGCTAGGTTGGCAGCAGCAGGTGCATGCCCTGAACAAGAATGGTGCGGGCCCCAAGGACAGCAGTAGGCGCATGCAGAAGGCAGGAGTCACTCCATAGGCCTGCTGGAATTGCAGCTCAGCATGGAGTCATGGGCAGAGCCATCCTTCTACATTCAGGCACTTCTCAGTGGGCACCTGTCCAGGCAGCACTGTGGGTACAGAGGGTGCGGGGACAAGCAGCCAGCACAGCCACCCTAGACCTGATGCCTCAGGAGAGCCAAAGGCACTAGAGACCCACGAAGGCTGGGTCAGTGCAAGTATAGACACACACGTACACATTCATGCATGCATAGGCTCAGTGCCTCAGAGGGAGTCTGGATAAGCAGAGGTCATAGAAGCTGATTAGAGATGCAGTGAAGCGGCTGGTGGGGAGCTGGCCCCCTCAATACAGCTGCCTTAGAAGCATGCTGAAGTGGGCCCAGCACAGCAGCCTAGCAGCTAAAGTCCTTGCCTTAAACATGCCAGGATCCTATATGGGTGCTGGTTCTAATCCTGGCAGCCCCACTTTCCATCCAGCTCCCTGCTTGTGGTCTGGGAAAGCAGCTGGGGATGCCCTAAAGCCTTGGGACCCTGCACCTGCGTGGGAAACCCGGAAGAGGTTCCTGGCTCCTGGCTTTGGACTGGCTCAGATCCAGCCGTTGCAGCCACTTGGGGAGTGAATCACTGGATGGAAGATCTTCCTCTCTCTCTCTCTCCTCCTCTCTGTATATCTGACTTTGCAATTTTTTTAAAAAAAAGCATCTTAAAAAACAAAAAAGAAGCATGCTGAAATAAACCTTTGTGCCTGGTTCCCTAAGCCCCAGGACTCAGTCACACAGCTGGAACAGCAGCACCAGGAGCACTACCTTGTGACACTAGGCAGGTGGCTGTGCTCACCTGGTGATGGGCCCCAGGTCCCAGGGCCTTTGAGTTTACCATACAGGGCTAGGGGAGGTGAGAGAAGGAGCAGGAATCCTCCTCTACTCTGGATCTCCTTCCCCTCTGCTCAGTTTGCAAGATGCCATCACCCCTGTCCATTCCCCCATGGCCACAAATCTTCTCTGGGAACCCTGGGCCCCCGCTACCATTATGTGTCCGGCCGGCAGCAGCCACCCAGTCCTGCATCCCCTTGAGGTAGCCCCTGGGAGCCATGAGGAGCCCATAAAGATGGTGAGGTTGGCAGGGGTCAGATCCACCTGCCCTCCTGAGCATGGGGGCTGCAAGGGGACACCAGGCTGGCCTGCACCCTCCACGTGCTGCAGCCAACCTGGGTGGACCCTTTGGCTGCTCCTGGCTTCCTTTATTCTGCCATTCAATGTTCCAGCCACCAGATGTATAGCTTCAGGGCCCCTCGCAGAGCTCCTGGCTCCCACTGGACTCACCTGAGCAGCTGCTGACCCTGGGGCAACATGTGCAGCCAGGTCACACACTGGCCCCCATGACCATCCAGGATGGCCACAGGTCTCCGTGTCTGCAGACTCCAGATGTGCACCAGGCCGCTCTGACACCTGTGGGAGATGAGGCATGCATGGCAGAGGATAGGAGGTGTGCTACCCAGTTTGGGAGAAGCCCTGGGAACTTCTGCAGGAGGAAGGGTAGAGGGAGGGCTGGAATCTCAGACCCAATGGCTCTGTGTGCTCCTGCACTGCTGGCTGCATCTGTGCAGCTTCAAGGGAGAAGAATGGGAAGGTCAGTGTGTCCAGTGGCCTTGCTCAGCCCAGGGCAGGGGGTGAGGGACAATGACTACTTACCCTGAGAAGAGGAACGGGTGGCCCTGAGCCTCATCTCCTCTGTGGAAATGCAGGGCATGCACCGCTGACTGGGTGCCTCGAAGGACAAACTGGGGATCTGGCGGTGGTGGCGGAGGTGGTAGGTGGCTGGCGTCCACCATGCTGGGCGGCGTGCAGACACCCGTGGACTGGGGGAAAAGGACTGTAAGTGCCGGGGAGTCTCTCCTGGTCTCCTGGGGACAGCCCTGAGCCAGGAGCATAGCACTCAGCATGCCCCAGTGCTGATCCCTGCTCCCTCTGGACTTCTGGAGTCCTGCCTGGACAGCAGTGCTCTCCCTGTGCTCCACCCTCTGAGGATCTGCACCCAACCCTTCCCTAACCCAGGGCTGCACCCGCTCCTCCTCTGGTCCTCACCTGCCTATACCTGTGTTCAGTGACCTGCCTAAGGTCCCCTACCACCTCCAGGCTTCCTGTCCTCTGGCGGCCAGGCTGAGTCCAGGCTCCTGAGCTGTCTGTCCTTCTCCTGAGTCCTCAAGTGCACCTCAAGTCCCCCAGGTGCCGCTGGTATTCTGCCTCCCTGGTCACTCAACACTCCACCCAGTCTCACTCCTCCATGCAGCAGAGCTGTACTGCTGGGCTCTGCCCCGAGACATGGCTGCCCTTGCTGTAGCAAGGCCAACTCCCCAGCACACATGGGACCTGCTCAGGCTACACCTATTCAGGCTGCAGGAGCACCAGGTGCGCGGGGGTGAGTGTGGTGGAGTAGCAGTCCCTCCCCGTACTGGCTGCCAGCAGCACCACTGGCTTCCATACCATCTCTGTTCCAGGACCCTGGGTTCAGGCAAGCAGGTGCAGAGGCAGGACAGCACAGCCTACCTGCAGGACTGCCCACCCTCCCCTCGCCTTTCTCTCTCTTGAGCAGACAGGTGGCAGCTATGGACAGAGGCACATGGTGCCCAGGAGATGCCCCTTCTGGGGGGTGTGGCTGGTGGGCAACAAGTCACACGGAGCTCAAAGGCCAAGTGCTGGTAGATGGAGCCAGGTTGCAAGACTGTACACGTGGCTCACACTTCACACAACCCTCAGATGCACACATGTGTCTTCAAACAGAAAAGCACACGTGTGCAAGAGCTCACACATGTAGCAGCAGCCAGCCGAAGTCTGGCCCACACCTGCCCCACCTGCCCGTGGCCTGGCAGGAAGTTTCCAGAGCTCCCAGCACCCAAGCCACGGAGGCTCATTGTGAGGTGATGCAATCAGGGCCTCCCCTATTGTTTTCCCCAGGACGAACAAACCTGTCACGTTACAACAACCCCCTCGGCCCAGGCCAGAATGATGCATCGGCAATTAAGGCCTCCATCATTGCAAGCAATTAAAATAAACGCTTTATTTGAAAACTAATTAATTCTCGCTACATAGTTTTCCCATGACAATATCCTAGGAGGGCTTGATTTATGACATCCAATTATTCTTTATTAATCTAATTGAGAATAATCGCATTCTCCTATCTCCGCTGGCTCAGGGCCTGCCGAGAGCGGAGGCCACAGCCCCCTGCAGGCGAGAGTTGAGCGGGCCCTGCCTCGTGGTGCTGCTGGGGTGCCCCCTCTAGCCTTTCCCTGCTGCAGGGCAGAGGAGCGGGAAATTGAATCCGGTACATGACTTGCTCCCTGACTGCTCATGGAGATGCCAAAGCCAAACACCTTGTTTCAAAAACTGAAAAAAAAAAAAAAAAAAAAAAAAAGGAAGTGGGGAGTGGACCAGTGCAGTGGTATAACAGACTAATACTTCGACCAAATGGCACCGGTTCACATCCCAGCTGCTCCACTTGCCTTCCAGCTCCCTGCTTGTGGCCTGGGAAAGCAGCAGAGAACTGCCCGAGCCCTCGGAACCGTGTACTCATAGGGAGACCCAGAGAAGGTTCCTGGCTCTATATGAATTCAGCTCTGGCCATTGTGGCCAATGGACCAGTAAAAGGAAGAACTCTGCCTTTCAAATAAAAATAAATAAATACTTTTTAAAAAATCAGTTTAAAAAAAGTCTATTTGACTCTCTTGGCAAAACTGACAGAGGATGCTACAAATGCTACTCTGCCCCTCCAAAGGCCTTGCAGGTCACAGCTTGGGGCAGGCAGCGCGGCCATGCAACGCCCAGGTGCTGGGCACAGACCTGCCCAGAGCATGCAGGCAGACGGAGCGCCTGTGTGACTCGAGGCTGCCAAGGTTGGGCTGAGAGTGGCTGGCACCAACTTCAGGACCACTGCTCACTTGAGAAATCAACAGAGCAGGGAAGTGGGCCAGAACCGTGCAGCCCACTGGAGGTGCCTGGGCACTATCTCCACCTGTCCCCCTTCCACTGGGTCCTCCCAGGTATGTGTGACAAGCTGCCAGGCACCCGTGTGTCAGACATGATTCCCTGGGGACCTGGGCACTGCACAGGGGTTGGGGTCCCTTCCAGGAAGAGGGGTGTCCTGAATGGCCTTATCCCCGCTCCGAAAGCTGATGAAACAAACAAACAAATATACAAACAAAAGAACCAAAAACCCCACAGCTTCAGGCATGTGTGTTGTGGTGCAGGAGGTTGAAGGACTGCTTACAAGTGCAGCCCATACAGGAGTGCCGGTTCAAGTTCCTGGCTGGGTGTGTGGGGGGACATCTGCTTCCAAACCAACACCCTGTGAATACAGCAGGGAAATGGCAGGTGACAGCCGCCAGTACTGGACTCCGTCATCCTGTCTCAGCCCAGGCTGAATGAATCAGCAAGAAAATTCCTCTGTCTTCCAATCACGCTACTTTTCACAATAAATAAATCTGTACATTTTTTAAAAACCTCAAAGCATTGTTGAATTCATACACACACACACACACACACAGAAGGTTTGGAAACTTCAGAGGCCAATATCATTACAAAAAAATCAACTCAGTGGTGGGGCAGCCGTTGGTCTGGTTATTACGGTATTACTTTAGGATAATGACATCATTAATTGGGTACCTGGTCTTGACTACCAACTACAGCTTCCAGCTGATTTGCTGAGTGTTCCTGGGAGATCTGGAATGAGCTTCTGGTTCCTGGCTTCAGCCCCAGCCATTGTGGCATGCGTACTGAGCCAGATGAGTTACTTCTGTCTCTGGGATACCAACCATAACACTACCACCTCATGAGGTCTGTGAAGCCAGCAGCTGGCTTCTCTCTGGGCAGGGGCTGCACAAGGGAACAGCAGTTCTGGCTGTGCCCTCCTCTATCCTCCTGTTGACAATAGGCAACGCTTGGGGCCTCCTGCAGTGGCTCCTATCACAACTAATTCTCTAATCAAGACTGTAAGATGCAAGACGTGGAGAGAGGCAGCCACAGCTATAAAAAGTAAAGAAGCAAGAGGCTTTGAAAATCTCCCTCTGGAGTACGGCTGCTGGGATCCAGAAGCACCCTGCGCCAAAGTTTCACTCCCTGGACTGCTCACCCATCACACAGGAAAGGGGAAATATATCCGTCTGTCACCACCTCCACCACTCATGGAAGCTGGCATTGCCAAGGGCAAACAGCGGGCACCCCTATCTCCTGGTGTGATGCAACAGGAAGACAGGGTCCCATCCCTGCGCGTTCACCTGCCACACCCTAGAGAGAACAGCTAGCTAGCTGGCACTTGCTAGAAAGGTCAGGGTTCTTGGAGGCACAAAGTGGGGTGACTCTTCAGCGTGAGGTCAGTGAGGCATCAGAGCCAATCACCACCCACACACCTCAGCTCCTACGACCCGGGTGCCGGTGGGCTACGGATTCCAGGGGATTATGTCTCCTTGGGAAGGGTGAACATCAGCAGAACAGTCCTCCTGGCTCCTGCTAAGGCGCCTGGGGGGTGAGAGGCCGTCACGTCTGTAACATTTCTCTAGTGCTCCACCTTGACCTCTGCCTTCGTCTAGGAGATTTAAAAATGTTCATGGAAAACGGGAATGAAAGCAGGTTGATGCTGGTGCAAGACATTCTGAGATGCAGGTAGAGCGCTTTCATAACCAGCATTTTCCATGAAATTCCTCTGCTTCCCTGACTGTGCCTGTTTCCCTCCCAGGAATCTCCTGCAGACGCTACGAAACGGGCAGGCAAAAGAGCGTAAGACTGTGCTAACAACTGGGGTCTCCAGCTGAAGAGTACACAGGTATTTATGATACTACTATTCTTGGCAACTTTTTAATGGGTTTGACCATACAAAAGCAGAGGCCAGAGCCAACGGCAAAATAGGTTAAGCCTTTGCCTAGGGAACCAGCATCCCTATGGGGAGCCAAGTCAAGTCCTGGCCACTCCACTTCTCCTCCAGCTCCCTGCTAATGCACCTGAAAAAAAAAAAAAAAAAAAAACAGAGGATGATGGTCCAAGTCCTTGGGCACCTGTGCCCAGATGACAGACCTGGAAGAAGCTCCTGGCTTCAGATCTGCTCAGCTCTATCTGTTGCTGCCACTTGGGGAGTGAACCAGGAGATGGAAGATCTTACTCTCTGTAAATCTAACTTTCCAATAAAAACTAATAAGTCTTAAAAAAAAAGACTATAAAAAATGAATAATTCTTAAACACACACATACAAAAGCAGAATATGTGAGGGAAAGCAGACAAGCCCCCTTGGACTTGTATCTGGAACACACACAGAGACTGATGGAGCAAGAAAGCAAATGCCAGAAAGAAAAATGGCTGGAAGACGTCAACAGGCACCTCACAGGCAACACCCACATCCCATAAACACATGGAAAACCGTCTAGCCCAATTCATGATCTTGGAAACGCCTGTCAAAGCCCTGATGTGCAATGCCTGCACTCCTAGCAGTTCAGCAAAAACAATTAAACAGTCTGTCCAGCGCTGATGGAGATGTGGCACAAAGAGCAGCCGCTACAGGACAGAGGATGAGCGCAGGGCACCACGGTTTGGTACTTGCTGGCCTGCAGCATGGCTCAGCCACCCTGACTCACACGGGCACCCAAGAACACACTTATACCCAGAAAGGGACTTGGGCCAGAATGCTAATGGCAGGGTTGAGTGAGATGGCCAAATGGCCATCCACTCCAGAATGAGATACATCTGGCACAATCATACTACTACTCATGCTACACAATTGGAGATGAACAAACCTCAGCCTTCAGTGCAGCGAGCTCAGAGCACGAGACTCAAAGAATAAAAAACGAGGCTAAAGATGGAGAAGATATACCCAATTCTTTACCCTTGGAGGACTACAGTTTGAGTTTACTGACTTGGGGCCAGTGCCACGGCTTAGCAGGCTGTTGCTCTGCTTATAACGCTACTAGCATCTCATATGGGCACCAATTCATGCCCCAGCTGTTCCACTTCCCATCCAGCTCCCTGCTTGCTGCTTAGGAATGCAGTAGAGGATAGCAAAGCCTTGGAATCCTGAACCCATGAGGGAAACCTGGGAAAAGCTCCTGGCTCCTAGTTTCGGATTGGCTCAGCTCCAGCTGTTGTGGCTACCTGGCGAGTAAACTGGCAGACAGAAGATTTCTGTGTCTCTCCTTCTCTCTGTAAATCTTTCAAATAAAATAAACAAATCAGAGATGGACAAAGGTTTATGAGGCAAGCACGCACACAAAGGCACAGGTGAAAGGGTCAAGCTCAAGCAGACAAGGCTGAGTTCTGGCCAACGAGTGTTAGATGTGACAGTGCACAGCACAGATAAAACAGTCTTGACTGTGTATCCTCTAAAGATCAGAGACAGAACCATCATCCAGCACAGGGAACAGGAAATGCAAGGCTGATGCTCCTGGGACAACAGCAGAAGATGGTCCTGTTTCAGCTTGACCCTGCTGGGTGGCCATTGCAGCCTTCTGGCGAGTAAAGCAACCCAGGGAAGCTCGCCTCACCTCTCCCTCTCCTAACTCTTTCAAAATAAAATCTTGTTAAAGAAAAAGATGCTCAGTTGTCACAGCCCTCATGGACACATGGCCAGGATGAAGCTTACACAGCCTCCCTCTCTCGGGCTGACAGCCACTAAAACACCAGACAAAAATGCAAACAGCAGGCACAGGGACTCAGCTTGTGATGGGCTTCCATCCGGATAAACCTGTATGGACGTCACCAGGCCAACCCACCAGCCTAGAGCACCAACACAGCACGGCCCAGGGCACCTGCTGCTCTCCCTCATGGCTGCGGGCTGCCCAGCCCTGGGAAAGAGGCCTGAGAGAGCCTGAGGAAAGGCCAGAATCCCACTGTGGACCCCGCTGAAGGCATGCTGCTTTTGCATTATCCCCACCAAACAGAGAAGTCATGAGCTCTGTCCCTGAAAACCCAGCCATGGGAATGAATCCTAGAGGTAAGCCAGGGCTCTGTATGGAGGGACCCTCATGAGGTAAGTCCTCTGGGATTTAGGATGTGTGTGTCTGGTGTTTGCAGAGTGGGGAGAACAAAAACAGAGGCCCCAAGCTCACTGCTAAGGCATGGAGGCCAGACCATACCATCCACTTTAAGACCCGAACCAAGCCTGAAACCGCTGCTCACGTCTCCAGCCAGAGCCCCAAGCAGCCCATGTATGGCACAGAACCACAGGCTGGGGAGTCGGAAGGGAGATTAAAGCCAGAGCCTGCACAGGGCGAGACAGAACCTGTGATACAGATCTAAGCAGGGTGGGGGCCCCCATGCTCACATACACCTCGACACTGTCCAGAGGACCCCATGTCGCAGGCAACCCGGGCCATGTCTGGGGTACAACCCAAGCTCATTGGACTTGCAAACACAGAAGCAAACTGAGGCTGGGTCTCGGGGGCAGCCCACAGATGCCAACCTTGAGACGTCTCAGATGTAGAGGGATCAGATAAAGATTTCCATGCAGCTCTCCAGAGTCCACCCCACGGGGCAAAGGTAAACACACTGGGAATGCACAGAAGGAAAACACGTCCTCGGCGGAGAACAGCAATCACTTTGTAAGGAAACGTGGACGTTGCAGAGCTGATTCAATATCTGAAAGAAACAGACCGAAAAAGACTCAGACGATGCAATGGGAGAGGATGGAGGAACGAAACAGGAAGACTGATCAACAGAAATGACTTAATGTTTAAGACCAGAAAAATGGCCGAGACCCATGACGAGAGCATCGAGGATGTGTGCTGTAGCACCCAAAAATGACACATCCAAGGTAAACAGTCCAGGCAGCAGGTGAAAGATGCCAACGGAAAGGTCCATGCCTAAAAATGTACAACGTAGAGAAAGCCAGAAACATACAGTTAGTAGGGACTGGTGCCATGGTGTAAAGCTGGAGCCTGCAACAGTTCAAGTTCCTGCTGCTCCACTTTTTTTTTTTTTTTAATTGGAAAGGTGGATATACAGAGAGGAGAGACAGAGAGGAAGATCTTCCATCCAATGATTCACTCACCAGGCGGCCATAACAGCTGGAGCTGAGCCAATCCGAAGCCAGAAGCCTCTGTCTCCCACACGGGTGCAGGGTCCCAAAGCTTTGGGCCGTCCTCAACTGCTTTCCCAGGCCACAGGCAGGGAGCTGGATGGGAAGTGGGGCTGCCGGGATTAGAACTGGTGCCCATATGGGATCCTGGGCGTGCAAGGTGAGGACCTTAACCACTGTGCCATCACGCCAGGCCCCTGTGGCTCCACTTCTGATTCAGCTCCTGCTAATGGGCCTAGGAAAGAAGCAGAAGATGGCCCAAGTGCTTGAGCCCCTGCACCCAGCTGGAAGATCAGAAAAAGCTTCTGGCTTCAGACTAGCCCAGCTATGGTCATTGATGCCATACGGGGAGTGAACCAGTGGATATGAGATCTCTCTTCCTTTTAAATAAACACACACGTACAAAACCTAATGAACCACACACGGCATAGACCTGAGGAAGACCTGTCGATTATTCTAGTCTCTGTAAGGACAACTTTTCTCCTATTCAACTAAGCTTGCCTTTCTTTGCTTTCAGGAAGCAAGAGACACTGCTGACAAGGCACATCTGTGATGATGCGAGTGCTGGTTCCTGTTAGAAGCTCAGTGTGGCCCATGAGAGCTCCGTCAGAGTGTGGACTAGGTGTAGCTGGGCTGTAACACTCAACAATAAGAACTGGGTTGGGCCCAGCGCAGTGGCCTAGTGGCTAAAGTCCTCTTCTTGAGTGCACCAGGATCCCATACGGGCACCCGTTCTAATCCCTGTAGCTCTGTTTCCCACCCAGCTCCCTGCTTGTGGCCTGGGAAAACAGTCGAGGATGGCCCAAAGCCTTTGGACTCTGCACCCCTGTGGGAGACCTGGAGGTTCCTGGCTCCTGGCTTTGGATTGGTGCAACACCGGCTGTTGTGGTCACTTGGGGAGTGAACCATCGGATGGAAGATCTTCCTCTCTATCTCTCCTCCTCTCTGTATATCTGACTTTGCAATAAAAATAAATAAATCTTAAAAAAAAAAAAAAAGAAAGAAAGAACCAGGTTGAGTATGGGCCAGTTGGGCAAGGCAGAGTTCCTGCCAGGATAGGAAGTGTACTAGGTCAGCCCAGGCTAAGGACCCACCGGTGTAAGCAAGATCTGCCACTGAGAAGAGACTTGATAGAGCAGCTTGGGGACCTGCTTTGTCAGGGAGCAATCCCTGCAGGTGAGTGCAAGAACCAAAGCAAGGAGCAGCCCAGAGTAGACCAGGTTGCAGTACCTGCCAGCATATGTGTAGCTCAGGTCTGGGGGCAGCCAGACTGGGCCAGTTCATAACACCCACTAGCACATCTGAGACCAGGATGGGATGCAAGACAGGCTGGGTCTGGCCGCATCACCAGCCAGTTCACATTAGGGCCGGGACTAGGGGGCTGACTGTGCTGGCTCAGGCAGCAGCTCCAGCCAGTGCGAGCTGGAATAGGGGCAGACCAGGCTGGGCCAGGCTACAACACCCACCAGCAAATGATAAGGTGAGATGGGCCATGCCAGACTGGGCTGCAGCACCCACCAGTGCACTCAAGACAGGGGCAGTGGGGGTGGGGGAAAGTGAGCCTGGTAGGGGAGTAGTGGGAACTCCATTACTGGGCCACTGCTGATACTGGTGAGCATGATAGCTGGAACTGGGGGCAGAGCAGGTTGGGCAGAGCTAGAACACCTGTTGGCCTACATGTGAATTGGATTGGGGGAGAGCCAGGCTGGGGTAACTGATTGTAACCACTGGTACAGACATGAGCTAGAATAAGGGCAGGCAGATTGGGTTTTGCTGTAGCACCAGCTGGCAAGTGATGGGATTGCAGGCAAGTCCTGTCAAGCTAGACTGCAGAACTACCTGAATAGCGCAATATCCCTGGTAGGGAATGGGTCCAGTGGGGAGGCTGTGGTCTCCTCTCTGATGGGCTGCAACTTCCACTGGTAAGTGTGAGAACCAGGATGGGGGCTGGGCCAGGCTATACAAGTTGGTATGAGTGTGGGCTGGAGGATGGAGTCGGTTGGGTTGAGTTAGGCTTCAACATCCAATGATATATACAAGATCTGAATGGGATGTGGGGTAGACTGAACCAGTCTACTGCACAAGCTAGCAGGCATAGGAACCAGAGCTGGGGGGCTGGTCCAGTGGGGGTTATCGGGGGCTGCAGCTCCTCCTAGTATATGTGAGGACCGAGCGTGGGGTAGGCAGGGCTGAGCTGGGCCACATTGGTTTGCAGAGGAAGGAGGGAAGAACAAACTGATCAACTATCCCAGAAAAGCTTAACAGCAAACTTCTGGACCAATGGAGACTTGGAGGTGGACTGTGACAGCCAATCGACCTTGGAAGGATTTCCTCATCCTTGGAGCAGTGATATCAATAGCATCTCAGAACTATCAAAACCACATGAGCAGAACCCTCAGAAAATGCTCCACAATGGAGACCCTGGGATGACATCGGATGGCAGTATGTGGTGGTTGGGAGACTGGGTGTGGTTTCCCCTCCTGTATGCTCCTCTCCCCCATATACAGAAAGAAGAAGAAAATGTGTAAGCGATGGTCTTACCCCCTATCCCCGATCTTTCCCACCCTGATTAACTATGTAAACATCATCAATAATTTTTAAAAATCTTAATTAAAAAATAAAAGATCAGTCTGGCTAAGGTGAGGCCCTCGTGAGAGGCAGCTGGGTCACAGGAGGAGGCAGGTGGCCCTGCCACTGGAGAGAAACCCTGTGGCCTCAACGTGAGCTCTCGGAGAGCAGCCTGCTTGTTACTAACGAGGGGGCCAGGCTGGACAGCTCTCTGGCTTCCTGTCTGGCTACAGCATCATTGCTTCTCCCATGTGAGCCATGAGCCCTCAGTCCAAACCCCATGTGGAGACCCACCTCCTCTCTGAAGTCAGCCTGCCCAGGCACTTGGTCAGTCACAGGAAATGTCATGGAAGGGCATGGAGAGACAGAACTCTACAAACAGCCCCTTGAGAAACAAGCAAAACACATACACTCAGGTGGGGGACAACTGGGAGAAGCTGAAATTTCAATAAGGCAGAGAAAGGGGAATGACAACCATGAGGGTAAATATTTGAGACTTTTAAAAAAAGATTGATTGAGAAATCAAGTTACACAGAGACAGGGAGACAGAGATCTTCATCTGCTGATTCACTCCCTAAATGGCCTCAACAGAAGAGCTAGGCCCGGTCAAAGCCAGGAAGCAGGAGCTCCTCCCAGGTCTCCCACGAGAGGGCAGGGGCCTAGGCACTTGAGTTACCTGTTGCTCCTTTGCCCAGGCTTTTAGCAGGGAGCTGCGTTTGAAGTAGGGCAACTGGGACACTCACACTGGTGCACGTGCTTCCTGCATTCTGCCCCAGCAGCCCCATAAGAGACATGTGGGGTTGGTAATATTAGCTGCTGGCACTTTCAATAGCAATTATAACCTAACTCAGCTGATGGAGAGGCTGTGTGGTAGACTCACCAGTTTCAATATCTAAAGAGCTGAGGTCATGAGGGATAAGTGTGTGTGTGTGTCGGGGGGCACATGTGGTGGGATCCCACTCCATGAAGCCAAACTCCAGGCCACTCTCCAAGCTGAGTCTCCCATGAAGTCGTCTACAGTGGCATCAGGGACTTAAGAGTTCACTTTGTCTCCATTAAGAGATGTTTATCTGGGCTCCAGGAGTGGGCAGGGAGTCTGGCCATCCTCCCCTTGTTGGTGTGCTGTGCTCCTGTGCTGCACAGGGATTGTGCCACTCCCCTGCCACCATCCAGCATCCGTCCTCATTTCCTCTAGTCAGAACGCACTCGTGCTGCAGTGACCTCTTCTGCACAAAGGACAAGCCACAGGCAGCTTTGGTCAGCCTTGTTGTTGATATTGTTGATATTGTTGAGGCTGAAATTCACAGCCTCAGAAGTTGACACTGGAAGAAAAGAGAGGTCTCCAAACAGCCAGCTGGCTTCTTCATTCTCTAAGCTAAGAAAAAAAAAAAAAAAGAGCAGCAAAGTAAACCCAAAGAAAGCAGAAGGGGGACTGGCGTAATGGCTCAGTAGCTAAATCCTCGCCTTGTGTGCACCAGGATCCCATATGGGCACCGGTTCATGTCCCAGCTGCTCCATTTCTCTTCCAGCTCCCTGCCTGTAGCCTGGGAAAGCAGTCGGCAATGGCTCAAAGCTTTGGGACTCTGCATCTGTGTGGGAGACCCAGAAGAAGCTCCTGGTTCCTGGCTTCAGATCAACTCAGCTCTGGCCCTTGTGGTCACTTGGAGGAGTGAATCGGAAGATGGAAGATCTTTCTCTCTGTCTCTCCTCTCTGTAAATCTGACTTTCCAACAAAAATAAATTTAAAAAATGTGATGAATTTCTGACTTAATACAATTAGAATAACACAGAAGGATTCTCTCTTACAGATATCAGAAATATTGAAAGCATGTTATACCATGACAAACTCAATGTACTTCAATTAGATAACTTCAACAAAACAAAAGTAGAAAGCCACAAACTAGCTGAAGAACAAGGTGAGCAGCAGAGCCCCGTATTGAGGAATGTGTTTTTAGATTAAATCCTAGCAAAACAAAACACATTACAACACTCC